CTAGGGTAGTAGGTATATGAACTGTTTCTTGTAAGGTTTCAACATTTTTTAACCAAGATTATTGGCATTATTTATGATGCGAATTTAGGTCAAAATATAATGCTAATTAACACAAGTGTTTGTTTAAGTTGAATTATTACTGTTTTGGTTGAAGTCAATACGAGTAATTAGAATATACGCGTTCCATTACCACGTTCCTTCCTATAATATTTTTCGCAATACGTTGTATTAATACACATCTTAGTGTAATAATAATAATCCATATCTTCGTATTAACTACTGTCAACATCAGTGTGTCTTCTTTAGCTGTGAGACTAAGTGTAGTGGTAATGTGAACCGCAAACTAAATCTAAGGACCTGTCATCGAATTCAAGTGTGATAAATACATTTTTACCGGTTAGATACTACTTTGCGGGTTCAGAAATATTAACTATGAAACATTACTAATAATTCGAGAAAATGCGTGCTGCCGTATAACTTCTTGTTTGTTACTGTTTTTGATACGGAACTCTATTAACACTACATAGCTTCCCAGAACAGAAACGTAGTTACGAGGGAAATATTAAAAACAATTGAATGACGCTTAATGTTCTCTTTTAAACGGAATTCTGAAAAGCAATTACAGGAAGAAAATTTGAAAATAATACAGACGACCAATACTATTTTAATAAATTAGGGAGATTATAAATTATCGTGTATGCCACGGACGTTAACAACGTTTAGTGCTCGAGTACGGAGAGCGAGCCCAAGAGCCTTAGGCTAGGCACCCCCGGCCGATCGATCATTCAAATCAGCGCAGCCAGAATGCGCTCTTGTAGCACCACAAATTTATTTAATGTGAAAAACGAATGGTACTTGCCCTGGTGATGTTTTGCGTTGCCATGGATCGCTATTTCTTGTTTAGTTATTATAGGGCCTCAATAGATTAAATAACAAACCGATTAATTTCCTCTTGCTGCGTTATTATTACATAGAACACAAATTTCAAGTATCAGGGTTTCATCTTAATATCTCATTATTGAATGCAACGGTTCATTGTTGTAATGTTATTTTGGCTGCCCGAATGTCGCAGCGTCTACGTCTGAGGTACTGGCGTTTTGACCATCATAACGTGGTTTTCTTCAGAGCTGTAGTGTGGCACATCAGGCACTACGGTCTCCAAGAAGACCACGATCTGATGGTTGAAACGTCGTCGACATCTCAGCCTTCGACGCGCTGTCACTCGGGCTGCCCGGATCATGACTGGCCACGGAAACCTATATGACATTACTGTTTTCTGTTCTTGATTGACACGAGTGTAGATCTCGATGTTTTGACTCCGCTCGGCCTCGCAGGCCACGGAGCCCATGCGTCGACCGCCGCGGCGTGTGTATGTGTGTGTGTGCGTGTCTTGCGTGAGCCTTCCGCTGCGCGTGAGGGCGTGATTCGGTTCCTTTGTTGTATCGCAAGGAGAGGCCGCCCCCGCTGCCCCCGACGCCCCCGCCCTCGTGCGCGGGGGTGGGCGATCGATGCCCGCCGGCGTGACTTGCATCCAGCGCCCAGTGGGGGATGCATAAAATGGCTGCGCGTGGACAGGCCCGCAACGACTTCACATCCTTCCCCTCGAACACTTCCCCTCGAACACTTCCCCTCGAACACTTCCCCTCGAACACTTCCCCTCGAACACTTCCTCTCCAACACTTCCCCTCGCCTGCCATCGGAACGTGATCCTCCCACACGTCTTTGTACGCCAATATTTTCCCAATAAAATTCTCTGAAGGACACCCTCTGAGCATTCTGTCAGAGTACGAAAATAGCGAACATGTTCGCTAATAATGCAATGCGCGTCAACTTGTCCCCACTGACGAGAACGTCAACATTAATTTATGTTTTCAATCCTCGCAATATCGTCTCACTCTTCTTTCCTAAAGCAAAAGAAATTCCCCCCCCCCCATTTTTCGCAAAACATATTTTAATCGCGAAATGATTTGTTAAAAAGAAGGTTTTTTATGCGTCTTAAAAAGGAAATAGTGATGCAAAAAATGCACAATTACCATGTACAATTCCTTCAATTTGCTACCTGAAATGACACTTGTAAATAATTCGCAATTAAACGTCGTGAGAAGAGGTTTGCGTCCGAGTACCATAGCTATATTGATTGATTAGGAAGTAAAACAATACATCTTTAATTCGGAATTCAGTTTTGTATTTTGTCCTCTCCAAAGGGCGCCCTGTGCCCGCGCGCTTGCGCCCTCGCGGCTGGCTGCTCCCTTCCCCGCGCCAAGCGCTTGCTATCTGCTGACGGGGCAGCCCCCCTCCAGAAACCGCCGCAGACAGGACGACGCTTCGGCTCGCGACCGGGCTCTCGACGTGCGCGGTCCTGTAGTCCGTCTCAGTGGGTCTCAGCGGAGAGGACGGGAAAAGGATGAGAGAGGCAAGACAGCGCGTGATCCACAGCCTGCATCGTACGTCGACTACACACACAAACATTCGCTATTCGGCGAACAGCGAGCAACCGCTCGCCGAATCCCTAGTCGTGGGGATGAATTGATTGTATTTGCCAAGGGACAAACATTCGGTGCTCACCCTACCCAACGCGTGTTCGTCGTTTGGACACAAAGGGAAGCGAACAGTTGCCGAACACACCAACTGTTCTGGATTGGGTGAGCAGTAGTTCCTGCTCGGCGAAAGCCGAATGTTTGGAGCCGCCTTTAAAATACTGCTCGAGCATTCGTCTAATCAAAAAAAAAAAACAACAACAACAACAATAATAATAACAGAAAACTACGGACCGTTTGCGAAATTGTTACCCGCTGGTTTCTGCTCACAGTCATTATTTCGGGGGATGAACGCACAGAGCATAGTTTATTCTGCAACGACAATATTGATGGCTATTATTCACGGCTTGATGTTTATGACATGAGCGACGTAATAGCGAGTGACGCAATTTCTACGAGTGAGTAATTGCTATTATGGCCGAGTAGGCAACTATAAACTCTCTACTACTCTGAAATAGTATTCTAAACAATTTTATAACTGAGTTTTACACTCTACGTCTGGTTTTTTCTGCAATAAACCAGAGCAAAGAGTAATCACGTCTGAGCTCACTAATTCTCCTACAGGGACAACGTCTTGCTAGTCCAGGTGGCTAAGGGCCTAGTCCAATGGCTTTACTCACAGCCATTGGACAGTGTTTGCAACGAGCAGCCGCACAAGTAATTTTATTTAGTTACATCGCATAATGTAATTATTTTGGTATTCGGCAAAAGTTGTTACATGCACGTACTTTAAATATTGTTTATGCAATCGATTCATGTAATGTTGTCTCCTTATATGCCAAATGCGTGCTTGTTAATTTTATTCGATTTTAGATATCTGAAGATACATATTGGAAAAGACATTTATTTTCCTCATACTGCCTTTCATTACGGGATGATTGAAACTAATTAGCACAGATTTTAATATTTTATTTGAAACTATTGAATTTTTTCACTAAGTTACGAATCTACATTCTTAAAAATTAAGCAATCATTACCATTGTTGTACTGAAGTTTCTAATATTTATTCTTTATAAAACAAATTAGGAAAAATTATTGTATTTCAAGTATGAAAATTAGCAAGCGAAAATTCATAATAAATGAAATTACGCTCTTATTATTCTCCAGTCCAAAAACAATGATCGTTTGATTACATTTCTTCGATTTATTAGGTAATAATTGAAACGTTCTTTACTTCCAAGATTACATTTTATTCCCATTGTCGCTGCTTTCAAGATAAATTTTCTAATAAGTGATCAGTTGGAAATGTATTGAAAAATAATCGCAACGTGTACATAAAATAACGAAATATTTCACTTTTTGACAGCGATTGCAAGTGCAAAGAGTATGCAATTCTGCTTGGATATTCCGAAAGTTCTAGGAACGTGTTTGGTGCATAGGTCATGTATTCAAAATTGAAATCCACGGGTTGTATAATCTAGGTCTTACAAAATGTACGCACGCCCCAGCGGCACAGCAAGCACGGCAGGGGCGCACGCAACCCGCAGCACAGGAGTGTGTTGCGAATTGAATCGCGTGCCACAAGCAGGCGCCGCAGCCGGTACTCTAAACGTCTCGCTTCAATTCAGGTCACATTAACCCCCACAGATTTGACCAAATCTATGCCCGTTAGACTCGTACGATACCCCACACGAAACGAATTAAATTTTGAACACGAAAATTAACTCAACACATAAATACCAACAATGTGGACATCACAATAATAGCCTGAGGTTGGGTAGAAAATAATCCCCGAATCGTTGCCTTTGTGTACATATTGTAAGTAGTACATAATAATAAATTTGCTATTTTTTATCTTTGAGAGTGGAAGGTCCTTTAACAAAATTATTTTCATATAATGTAAAATTTCTAATTTCTTATCTTGTTGATGTGTGCTGTAAATTGAAGTGACTATTTAAGTATAACAAGAACCAAATAAATTAAGTCAAAATATTCAAATAATAACAGTCGTTTAAAAAAATATTTATCTTCAATACAGTAGTTGTAAGAAGACGAAATAATAATCAATCAATGAATCACATATGGGCCTCTGACCCCCGTGGTAACACTTGTGTTAATAGAAGGATGTGATTGACTCTTGCATGGTACCGTGTTATTTCCGAGGTAACCTCTATCACACAACTCAAAATCCTACGGTGACACAATATACACTTTCTGTTTCGGCTTACATTATGAAGCGTTTGCCACGGCAAGTTGAACGACTATTCTTTGCGAATGGAATATAATTGACTTCGAACGTACGTTTATACTATGATTTCACAATTATCGGAAATGAAAATGAGAATATATTACTCTACATCTCTTTACGAAATTCCCAATCACAGCAAAATTGAAGCTTTACTTAGTTACTTAGTCGTCTGCAATTAAAAATGTTATCAACAGTTCCAAGTATTAAATTGTCATCGTTAGAAAATATTAGTGTGTTGACTACTGTTTTAATGGATACAAAAAAGTATAACTCACCGTTAAGAGCTTCTTGCGAACTAATTGATTGTGTGTGACCGCATCTTCCGGTGAAACAATCTGAAACAAAAAATATAATTGGAGGATGCGAAATCTCTTTCGTAGTTTTAATGAGTTGTCTTAGACTATTCTAGGCAGATAGATTAGATTTAACTAGTGCTTAAAATGCGTGCAATAAAAATATTCATATTTCATTGAAGAATGGAAATTAGTAAGTCTGAAATGACGCACTTTTATACACAGGAGTTGTGCTAATATGTCTTTTTATTTAAATCAATATTAAGAAGAGACATTTCACAGATGTTTATGTTTGAATGTCATGGGAGCGACGAGGTCATGGCAGCACATCTCGTCGGTGGCATGCAAGTGAAGTCGCTCTCCTCCTGATGAGTGAATGTTTTAACGATCCTTTAATGTTTGAATCAGGAAATTTAACAGACCTCCCGAAATGGTTTTGCCTCATGTTGTCACCAGTCAAAAAAATACTCGATCGTATCCGAAGATGGAATGATTAAGGAAATGATTTAAATCTTGAAGTAGCAAGGTATTTATTAGGACTTGTCTTCTTACTATTATTTATGTAAGGCATGAAAATCGTCAAAAGCATTTGAAGACGTCTTGCTGCCCTCCATTTTATTTAATTTCTGTCATCCCTTCTCCCCCTGAGTATATATCCCGGTAGAGCACTAAATGCATCGCCATTAGACTGCCGCATATCATAGCTAAACGTTTCGCCACTGACCGTCGGAGCGCTGCTCGCAGACTTTCGGAGAATCCACAGAGAAGCGCATTTCTCTGAGCCGCCACACAGCCATTTTATACCCAGACCTCAGAAACCTTCGAACTGCTCTGTATTATGTGTCTTAAGAACTAACAATCTATTCGAAAATAATATTAATATCATTTAAAATTTTCATAATGGCTTCAATTGTTATCTTATATAAATCTGTTACGTTATTCAATTCCTGAATGCTGCCTGATTGTGTTTTCCGGTGAGAGGATAATCGGGGTGGCAGTTGCGCTGCTCCCTGTCTCCAGGGAACCTACTCGTTTCTTGCTCAGGGTCTTACTGCCTTAACATGACGGCAGCATTAAAACGTAAATGCTCGCTTCATGTTAAAAAAAGGTTAAAAATCGAAATAACGCGAGGTCTCGATGTTGTTCAGATCGACCAAGGAAAATCAATTTTGTACAAAATCGGCTGAATGGGTTCGGCTCTATCGTTAACCATAGACGGACAGACAGACGTTTTGCCGTCAATCGATTTCAGGTATCAAGGATCCATAAAACAGAGATGCAGGCTACACCACATTTTAGAGGAATTTTTCTATATTTAGGAACAGGATTTATCCACTTTATCGTTAACAGAATCCGGCAATAAGAATTTTTCGGTCGAAAATTCGCAGTTGTCTGGCGTACGATTACATAACCTTCTCTTCTTACGTAATACCTTTGTAAGGGTGAGAAAGTAAAAATTGGTCCGGCCATTCGAGTGAACGGCCATTCGCTGCTTTGTTGAAGCGATCAGAAGGCCCTGCGAACGAAGGGGCAATTAACACTCCAACTTGAGTCGTTTGTCCGCTGGCTGCGGCAAGAACAGCCGTGTGGAAGTCGGTTGGGCCGAGGCACGGAGTCCTCAGACGCCCTGTGACGGGGCTTAGCCTAACTCCGCGAGGCGTACACTGCCTCGGGCTTAAGGCGGACTCCCTCCCTTCTCACGTCACTCCCTGTTACTCCAGATTAAGAGGCCCTTGAAACCATTAGGATTTTTGTTCATTTTAATACTGTCTACGCACTTCTTACTTCGATGCATTTTATTTACCTTGGAAAATGTAAAGAACGTTTGAAGATTTTGAGAAAATCTGTAGAAACTTTTTGGAATAGATCAGGTTTCGTTTCAATTGTCCGCGCATACTGCTAAAGTTTCCCAAAAATATACGCATTTCTTACGTGTTAATTGTTAGGAAGATACAAAATAAGTAAGAAATACAAAAGCGTTTTGAAACATTTTATTAGACCATTTTCGACTTATTCAGCCTTTTTAGGATTTGAATGTATATATAATTTCTTTTCTACGCAATATTAATACATATGTAAATCACAATGTTTTATACTTTTACAATTACATATGAATATTACAGGGCTCATTTCACTGAAAGACCTGAAACGTATATACTGTAATTTATATATTTTTAATATCCACTTTCTAATATGAGGTAATATATATTTTAATTCGAATATTTGTGTTTAGATTAACAGCACCAAGGTTTTAATGAAACAATCGAAAGTTCTTGACAAATCTAATTGTTACAAATAAATCAAAGAGCTTTTAATGTTCATCAGAGAATTTGATTTTCAAAAATTTGTATTTTTTTCAATTCGAAGGAGCTGTGCTTCCCTATCTATGTCAGGCGTATGTAAGAAAGGGCTGAATAATATACCTGAAGATAGGTAATAATGATTCTAAGTTAATTTTAAAACGGATATAATTTCAAAATTTTAATAAATATATTGTTTTTGACTCTCAAACCATGATTTTTCTAAACTTTCTTTCAATTAGTTGTCCTTATTATGAGGCCGCAGTTTTATACGGAAGTCAATGTATTGCTTTATTATTTTAAAATCAATCCTTTTAATTTTAGCATTTGGGCAGTAAATGCAATTTTTACTGAATTGATATATTTTCTGCAAATATTAAACACTTACTCGTAAAAAAGGTATTTGTTTGATTATTTCTGACATATATTATAAAATGCGAAGATAAAGATGCATACATCATGAAGAGCAAAATTAATGTTGCCCACTCATTACATTCATTTTTAATCGGGTAAAATGCAGTTGAATACAATTTAAAAATAAAAATTTAGCAGTATTGTGAAATTTAGGCATATATTGGCAATTCCTTAGTATTATGAGTTGCACAAAAGCTCCTAACTTGCTGCTTCTCGTTCTCGTAAATCTTAGACTGTTTTCAAGCTCTAAACTCTCAGTCTTACTAGACCAATAGTCTCTAACCAAACCTGTCACTTCACGGTTAATTACATTTTTATCACAGTTGTTGCAGCGTGTTTTATCATCCTTCGAAAATTCTCATTACATGATATTGCTGAAACCTCTCTGGATTTAACTCAAACTACTGCTGAAACGTCCTTTCAACCTCGTCTCCAGCAACTTGATTTAGTTTGTGGCACAGTTTTATGTCTGACGCAAAAGAAGCACTCTGCTCATTTAGAATTCAACCGACGAGGCGGCAGAAGAGGGAATTTTCCCTTATACTGTAATGTTGTGAAATGTTATCAAGGAATAACAGGAAGAAAATTTGACAGCAAAAACAACAGACAGGAAGAATGAGTTTGCGCAGGAATTGGTAACTGAGGAGAAAACTTTACCGTAGCGTCTCATTCTCCTTTTAAAAAATACTTTTTTTTTTATCTTGGGCACCGAGTTGCGAAATTTTGGTGATGTTGTTTTTGTAACTTATTTGCTTACTGGTGTACAACCTTTTTGCAAGGGTTTGATTTTACTGGATAAATCGTTTTAGAACAAAAGTTTCTACAATAATCACTTCCTGAGAATAATTTGGAGGACAGAGACTAAAAAGGGTTAAGGTGGATAACAAAATTCCGAGTAGAGTCCTGCCGACAAGTATTCTTTGTAGGGTAAGTTTCCCTCGCTGGAAGAGACGAGATTGCAAAATTGAGGGATTTTGTGATAAATCTTAGACGTAGGAAGTTCTAGAGCTTATGCCGAGGTCGTAAGAAAGATCACTGGGTCCGATGGAGGATGGTTTGGGAATCGTCCTTTGTAAACGCTTTCGGGCGGTCTGGTTTGGAAGTCTTTGGATGTGAGATTGGTCTTGTGTACAAGTGAGAATGGGTATATGGGTGGCGCTGCGGCGACGGGGCCGATTGGATGCGGAGGGAAGGGGGCTGCGCGCGCGGCGACAAGTGAGCAGCGCCTCGCAGCGCTCTCTTCCGCCGTCGGCCGCCGGGCGCGAACAGGCTCATTGGGTCACTCTGTTTCTGGGCCAAGTCCAGCGCGGGGCGAGGGGAGGGGGGCTCCGCCAATGGCTTCCGTCAGCCGCCGCCGAGGCCACGGCCGCCGCCAGCGCTGCCGCCGCTCGGGCATTGACCCCGCTGAGGCGACCGGCGCGCCGCCACGCGGCCGAGGCCCAAGTTTACTCTCTCGCAGCGCTCCCGGCGGACGCTCAGACAAGCTTCCGTTGCTGCGGCCTAGTTTTACTTTCTATCCACGCTTTTCGTTCTGAATGAGGTGAGATTTTATTTTGAGAAATTTTCATAGACTTGAGCGTTCGAGGGGAGAGTATTTTCCTTGAACTTCGTGTGTTTGCCGTGAGCAGTGGCGCAGCTACATTCTCGGGGCCCCCGCTTCAGAAGATTCAAATGGAGACACTAACCGCGATAAGCTAATGCAAAATCTGGAGTTTTGGAGCTAATTTATAGAAGACGTGCTCATTTTATTATAAATTAGATTTGATCCCCCAAAAAATCAATCTCCATTTTGTGATAGCGAGTTTTTTCAATCTTGGGCCCCTACTTTGAAAGTGATTTTTTTCGTCTGCAAACTACATGAAGGCGACAAATCAAGTTAGGTATCTTGTGAAACACAAACAAATCCAATTGTTCTTGTATTCATTCAGTTTTATAACGTAAGAGGCCTTATAACGTGTACCGGAAATCGGCAACATTTCGAAAGCAAAAAGCCGGGCCCTGATAACGAAAAAATTAATAAATAGTGTAGACTGTATGTAGTAAAATACTTAATCTAAAACTTTGTGTAGTGCGAATCTATGTTTTGTGGGTCGTTCATTCCGAAAAATCGATTGTCGGTGAAATGTCGGTCCGTCTGTGTGCTTGTGACAACGCTAGCGACTAAACCATTCAACCGATTCTATCCAATATTGATATTCCCCAATCGATCTAGCTGATGTCGTAACTCCTTGAATTTGAAATCGACATTTTAAATTTGAGGGATACGTCTCATAAAGCTCTTGGGACATTTCCAAAATTTTCAAAAAATGATCACTAATTCTTTATTAA